AAACTAGATTCATGTTTTTTCCCCTGAACAAACATCAACTCAAAGTGGATCAAATGAAGGAATATAAGGAAAGGCTATAGAAGGGTGAATATGGTGAAAATATTATGTGCTCATGTTGAAAATGGAAAAACAAGATATGTTAAAACATTCTAAGACTAGGGGGAGGTGGGACAAAGGAGAATGATGGAGGGGGTGAATTTAACTAAGATATATTGTAAACACTTTTATAAATGTCACAATGTACCTCCAGTATAACAACAATATAACAAAACAAAACAAAGCAATTAAGACCTTAATATTAAGGCCTGAATCTTTAAAACTACCACAGGAAAAAGTAAGGAATACATAGGCAGTAACTTTCTAAACAGAACTCCAATGATTCAGCAACTAAGAGAAAGGACTGACTATATGAAATGGGACCACATGAAACAAAAAAGCTTCTGTACAGCAAAGGAAATGGTACCAGACTGAAGAGGCAGCCCACAGAATGGGAGAAAAATCTTTGCTAGCTACATATCTGACAAGGGATTAATGAATCTAGAGGGACCTCAAAAAAGCTTAATTCCTAAAGAATCAGTGACCCAATAAAGAAATGGGAAAATTAATTGAATAGAGTTTTTTCAAAGGAAAAAGTACAAATGCCCAAAAAACCACATTAAGATTCCACCTCACTCCGGTTAGAATGGCTAAAAACCACATTAAGATTCCACCTCACTCCGGTTAGAATGGCTAAGAACACAACTAACCACAAATGCTAGTGAGGATGCAAGAAAAAGAAACCCTCATATATATGGTGAGAATGTAAGTTAGTACAACCACTATGGAAAAGAGTACAGAGGCGCCTCAAAAAACTAAAAATAGAACTACCATATGATCCAGCAATACCATTTCTAGGCATATAATCAAAGGAGTGTAAGTCAGGATTGAATAAACACACTCGCACACCCATGATTATTGCAGCATTATTCACAATAGCCAAGATATGGAAATAGCCCAGATGTTCTACCACTGATGAATAGTTAAGAAAATGTGGTATTTATATACAATGGAATTTTTATTCAGCTATAAAGAAGAATGAAATCTTGTCATCTGCAAGTAAATGGATAGAATTGGAGAATATCATCTTAAGTGAAGTTAGCCAAGTTCAGAAAGACAAAGGTTGCATGTTTTCTCTCATATCTGGAAGACAGATCCAATACAAATAAGCACTATTATTATTATTATTATCTATCTAGAACATGTTTCCAAGAGTGGGACTGTTAGAGGAGACAAAAGGAGAAAACAAATGATAGTGAATAATAAAATACACCACATCTGTGTAGGAACAAAACATAGCAAAACGTACTGAAAACTTGAACAACACAGGTAGGAGGAAAAGGGGGAGGAAGAGCAGTGCAAGGGGGCTAGACTGATGTAAGCAAAATATATTTACAGGTAAAATACCAAGGCAAATCCCCCACTGAACAATGAACACTTAAACAATGACAGACATGAATGTAAAACAAGTCATGTTCAGGGGAGGGCACTAGCAAAAGGGAGCGGGTAAATGAAGTGAGAAGGGTGAATATGGTTGATGTCCTTTCTATATATGTATGAATATGGAACAGTGAAACCAGCTGAAGTTATTTTAAGAAGGGAATGGGGTAGAAAGGTAAATGGAGGGGATGCATCCAAACTGGGGTATAAAATGTTTATATATGAAAATGTCTTAACAAAACCCCCTGTATAAATATCATCTTTAGTTGTTTCTTGAATTGCTTTAAAAATTTCTCTATTTCTGATCCTCTCTTAAAGGTGATCTTGAGCATTCTGATTCTCTATTTTTTTTCATTTCTAGTCACTGTTACTATTAATACATATATATATATAAATTTAAAATGTAATTTTTTCAGCCCATATTCTTTTCTTGAAGCCCATATTCAATTGTGAGTTGCATGTGTCCACTTGTCAACTCCTCACTCACTGTTCTCTTTTTCACTGAATGGTATAATTACACAATTGCCAATTCACTAAGTCAGAAACATGAGTTATCCTTGACTTTTTTCACTTGATCCCCCATATCTTAACAATCACTAAGTTATAATGAGTTTGTGCTGCTGGAATTTAAAAAATCTGTCTACTTCCTTCATTACCATCATTTTGATAAGGCAGACATCTTCTTATATAAGTGACAGGCTTCTACCTGCTATCCGTTCCACCAATCTTGCTTCCACCCATTCTAGGCAGCCATTCACTTTTTATGAAGTGTAAACCTACATAAATCATATCTGTTTGCTCTCAGGATAAAGTCCAAATTCCTTTACCTGACAGATTAGACACATAATTTGGACTCCTGCTGCCCTCTGCAATCTCAAGTCTTACTCCTTTCCCAACACTAAACTTTCTAGTTATCTTGAAATTCTTGCTTGTCTGAGACTAATAAGGATATCTCATGAATACATCTGGTTTTTGTTCTTGGAATGTGTTTATCACCTCTTCATTGGGGTAATTATTACTTTTACTTCAGACTGCTTTCTTTAGGGGTTTCTCTACTACTACTTCGAAGTACAACCTAAGCTTATTATCTGTGGTAGCCCGTCTCTCATGTACTCATACTATTATATTGTATCAAGGTTGGTATATGTGACCAACAATATATGGGATGTGATGGTTGACCTTGTTAAGCTCAGGCTATGACAGATATTGTTTCTGTCTTGGCCTCTTTCTTTCTCAGATTACTCATTCTAGAAGTCAGCTAATATATTGCAAGCAGTCCTAGAGAGGCTTATGTGGTAAGGAACTTAGGCCTCCTTCCCTATAAACCTTCCTGATTATCTCACAAGTCACCCTGAATCCAGGTCCAGGAGCTGCAGTCTAGCCTTCAGATGACTATAGCACTTAACTACCTTGACTGCAAAGTCACGAGAAAACTTGCATCCAGAACCATCCAGCTAAGCTATTACCAGATTCCTGACCACCAAAAACTGTAAATAAACATTTGTTGTTTTCAAAAGCTACTAAGTTTGGGAATAATTTACTTACTACTCAGCAAAAGATAACTAATACTCCTTACTTCAGACAAAATTTAAAAAATTTTGCACTTTTTGTTCTCATCTATAATATTCTTTAAGGCAGATATTACATATAGTTCATATTTTCCCCCTATTTACTGTACCTGGAACAGAAAAGATGCTCAACACCACCTATATAAATCCAAAGAAATGCTACAGATGTATTATAAAATTAGAAACAGCACATAAAAGGAAGTGCTTGGGGGAATCACAGTGTATTTCTCAGTGGAGAAACAGCTTTAAGTTTTGAAGGATGAGTTGGAGTTTGTGAAATATTTGAGGAACAGGAAGGACTGAGTACAATGCAGAAGGAAAATCATGTGTGAAGGCATAAAGGAGTGAAAGAACATGTCATTATCGAGGATCGAAAAGTAGTTGAAACTAATTATTTGGAGATGAGGCTGGAAAAGTGGCAGATGTAGGTCATAAAAATATCCTTTTCATTTAACAAACTATTTACTGATTTCTTACCATGTGCCAGGCACCATTCTAATTGTTTAAGAGAGAGTAGTAAGTAAAACAGATAAAGTCACTGCTGCTATACAATAAGGAATCTGAAGTTTATTCTACAGAAATGAGGACAAAGGCAGAAAAGTGACAGGAAAACAGTGTTCTGGGAATTAACTGCAAACAAAACAAAGAACCAATTACCAAGAGGAAAGACTAGAAGAGGGGCAGGTCTATAAGGGGATGTGTTACAACAGTTTATAAGCTTATAACAAGATGACAAACACGGAGAAGAGGGGAGTCTAAGAAACATTTCAGAGGTAAAAAAAATGTTTCGCCATTATTAAAATAGTCACTTCTAGTACTATGCCAGGGTCTGGCATAGTTTAGTAGCTACAAGCTTAGATTTTGTAGTCAAACACATTTTGATTCATCTCCGAATAATTATCTTTAATTGTGTAGTGGGCCAAGTTACTTAGCTTTTCTGAGTCTTAGTTTTCTTGCTCACTGGTAGTTATGAAGATGAAAATGAATCATCTATGTAAGGCCCTAAGCAAAATGTCTTACTTGTAGAAAGTAGTTATTGTTAGGGTTATCTTTGCTCACAAAGTTCCTTCGGCATAAAGGGACTCACTTCTTTTACCTCATTTGATTTGGGAAACTGAGCAATTTTTGCTCGATTCAAATGTTACTTCCTGACATTTGCTAGGAAAAAATATATTTGAGCTTGTAATTGAAGCATAAAGGCCACTTAAATGTTTTTCATGTGCTCTTATAGTTCTTCCTCCTCTTATCTTTACTAGACTGTATTTTAAACTTCATAGCCTAACATATGAAGTAGTGCTTGTTGATTAACAGTGTAGGTTATTCACTTAACTGCATTATAGTTTGAAGTCTGTGTGTCTCTTTTGCAATGTTTATCCTCTTTCAGGACAAGGATTCCTTTGTCTTGTCCACAACATACAACTAAAGGTAGGACACACAACTAAAGATAGATTTTGAATCCAAATGTGTCTGACTCCCATGTCTCCCAAACTTTAGGAAATGGGACTGTATATGAATGTAAAACTGAAGACCCAAAGAAGATGAAATGCAGACATAGTATAAATATAGGAGATAACTATAATTAGTGGAGAAGTCTAGTAGTCTACTAGAAGAAAAATCTAAAACAATGTCTACAAATTGCTTATAATGGCTGACACACTGGAATGGAAACTGCAGATATTCCTTACTTTTCATCAGCAAGAAAATTCCTTACCACATTGACATGTCCCTATCACATTTTTGCTGCAACAGTAATCAAAATATTAAGCAGAGAAAAAGGATTTACTTTAAAAAGAGGACACAGAATTAAATGACTATATGGAATTCAAGATGTGGGTATTAGTAACAAATGAGAGCAAAAGTTATTTACAAGAAGCATGTCACACAAAATAAAAAGCACAATTAGAAAATTTCTATTTCAAAGTAAAGATAAATTTTCATAATTTTTCCTGTTCTCACCATGATGAATTTCATATTCCTTGGTTCCTTGTCCTTTAAATACTGCTAAACATGGCTGAAAAACATAGAGGTCACTACAGATGTTTGGTGCAGAGGAGCAGTCAAACCTTCCAACCTAGGAAGGAGAAAGAGAAAGTGAACTTAATAAAAACATAAAGTCTTATTCAATTTTAAATATTCTTAATCCCAAAATAACACCGCTCTAAGGACTTAATTTCTGAAAAGTATCTAATGGGTTATAAAAATAAAAAAAAATTCATTTACATTTAATGCTGAATTCAATTTAGTTAAAGAATACTTCCTAGAGAGTTAAAAAGCCTAAAAGGAAATTTCCAAGAAAATGTGAAGTTCTTTAAAAATATGTAGGATATATTTAATCTTGGGATACAGGACAGGTAACTTTGTAAGTGAGACACTTGAAACAAATCACATAAACCTGTCTCCACACAGTGTGAAAGAAAACAGCTGGACTTTAGCTGTGACTAAAGTGGTATAGCACTTGCTTTGCAAGCATAAGAATCCCAAGTTCAAACTCCAGTCCCACAAAAAAACTCACAAAAAACAAAAAAGCATAAATAAAAATAGGTAAATGATAAATAAAAAAAAAGTAACATTATAAGACAGAGAATCAAGTAAAAAATAAAAAAGACGGGCAAATGTCTCATCAGAAAAAAGAAAATGTGCCAGGGATATAAACAAAAAAACTAGAGAAATATGATCTATGATAATAATCATTTAAAAATCTTTTTTTTTAATTCCAAACATACTAAAAAGCAAATAAATGAAAGTGAAGATTGTTAATAAATTACTTTTAGCCTACCAGAATAGTGAAGATTATAAAGAAAGATACGTGGTTGGTAAATGTGAAGAGATACCCATATGGTATGAGATTACAAATTGATAGAAACTTTCTGGAGGACTCTAGTAGTGAGGATAAAAAACCCTTAATAAATAAAGTAGAGTCAATTTCTCCCCCCAGAGTTGGAATGACAAGCATGTATCGCCATGCCCAGATTTTTTTTTCTTTTAAATTGGTTGACATGGGGTCTTGCTAACTGTTTGCCCATGCTGACTTGAACTGTGATCTTCCCAATCTCTGCCTTCTGAGTAGCTAGGATTATAGGCATGAACCACCGCACGTTCAGCCCCAAAATTCTTAATACTAAGGAAATAACTAGACAAAACCTGCACTGTCTGACATGAAAAATGGAAGTAACTTAAAAATTGGTAAGATAAGATTTGTAAACAATTATGATGTAACCACATAGTAAAATACTAATTAGCCTTTAGGGAATGATGAAAATGTGTGTGTGTGTTTTAAATGGAAAGTTTACAAAACTGCATATAGTGAATTAATTTTGATTAAAAAGGAGACATATAAAGGCAGTATAATCACAGCACTTGGGAGCCTGAGGCAGGAGGATCCACAGTTTGAAGCTATTTGGTGAAATATTAAGACCCTGTCTCAAAATTAAAAACACAACCAAAAACATGTAAATTTGCATGTGTATTCATTACAGTGATCATTATAGTATGTGTGCATGTGCAAACATAAGCACCTGCCCACATATACACACAGACATTCCTAAAATGTTTAAAAGGTTATATAGTAAATATTTAACATGGTTATCAACAGTACTGAGAGTATAGGTGTTTTTGTTGATAACTATTTTAATTCTTTTTTTTCATTTATATATCCTTATTTTTAAACAATGAGCAAGAATTACTTCAAAAAAGAATTAAGAATTTAAAAAAGGAAAGAGTAGTTTGGCATGCAAGACATCTGGAGTTTGGAAATTGTTATTCTTGTCATTCATATAAGAAGAAAAAGTTGAGCAAATCAGAATGCAACAACTCTCTCAAGCCCATCAGAGAACTAGAGTCACAGGGAACACTGCTGCCCCCCAAACTGAAGACACATATGGATAAAAAAAATTATATTAGAGTAGAAGCCCAGGACCAGAAAATTCTGTGGCACCCAGTGCTGGGATCACACAGATAGTTGTCTCATAATCAACTTACTGATTTTTATTACATAGGATTAAACAATATGAGCAGAAGGATCCAAGATAGCTGAATAGGGGTGCCCTGTGCTGTTATAGAGAAGAACCAGGGCAACAAAGGAATGACTACATTTTTGAGGACAGCAACTGAAGAAGAATAATGGAACTCACCAAGGGAGTAACAGGAACCCTAAATGGCACAGATGGTAGCACAGAGAGAGGAACAAAGCATACTCAACTATGACCCTGGTTTCCTGAAAGCACAGTTTTCACTGGTTTAAGACCCAGCCTGTGTGGGGTCCATGTAACTGCTTTGTTGCAGAGAAGGGACTCATATTGGACTCCCCCACCAACCTGTAGAGCCCCAACAACTACTATATGACAGAGCCACTGCTAAAATACATCCTGCTCTATGGGCCAGTAGGCAGTTTCCTCATTGCAGCTGCTGCCATCAGAAACCACAGCACCTCTGAGTTTTGTGTTGCAGGGCCTGAGGACATGCCCTAGCACAGTCTGTACCCTCAACGACAGCAGTGCTACTGCTAGTCTATGCTGCCACTGATGCTCAACTCTTGGGGCTTGTGATCATGTACCTCTGGAAGCACACTACCCTCCAAAATCACCTGCAATCTAGACCACAGAGGTGCTTGCAGACACTTCTGACATTGATCAGGTGCAGGCCACATATCACACTGTTGTGCTCACTCAGAACCAAAGCCTAAGTACCTAGCAAACTGACACCTTATGTCCCATGTAAACAAAGGACTTTCCCAACAAAGGCTAATCCACAAAAATGAACAAGGCAACTGCTACACTAGAAATATAGACATAAATGTAGAGACACAAAAAGAAAGCAAGACACTTCCAAAGAAACATAATTCCTCAGAAACAACCCAATGTAAAGGAAATCTATTAAATGCCTGACAAGAAATTAAAAACAATGATCCCAAGCAAGCTCAGCAAAACACAAGAGACTACAGATGGACAATTCAATGAAATGAGTAAAATAATTCATGATCTGAGTGAGAAATTTAACACAAATATACATCATTAAAAAAGAGCCAAACAAATCCTGAAGCAAAAGAATCCAGACAGTGAGATAAAAGTTTCAACAGGCTAGACTAAGTAGAAGGATAGATTTCTGAATCTGAAGACAGGTCTTTTGAAATAACCCAGTCAGACCACAGTTGGAGATATCTTAATATCTAACTTCACTGACTTCAAAACGTATTACAAAGCTATAGTAACCAAAATGTTTGGTATTGGCATAAAACCTGACAAATAGATCAAGGAGACAGAAAACAGAACCCAGAAACTAATACATATATATACAGTCAGTTCATTTTCATCACTGGTGCCAAGAACATACATTGAGGAGAAGATGGTTTCCTTAATAAATGATGCTGGGAAAACTGGATGTACATGTACAGGAGAATGGAACTAGATCCCTATCTCTCACTACATACAAAACCAACCCAAAATGGATCAAGGACCTAAATGTAAAATCTGAAAACTATGAAACTACTAGGTAAAAGGATAAACACTTTAAGTCATTGGTATTGGAAGAAATAATTTTGGATAAGACTCTAAAAGCACAGACAAAAGTAAAAAAAGACAAATGGGATATGAAATTAAGAAGCTTATTTACAGCAAAGGAAATAACAGAATGAAGAGACAACCTATAGAATGAGAGCAAATATGTGCAAGCTATTCATCCAACAAGGAATTAATATTCAGAATACATAAGGAACACAAGTCAGTAGCAAAAGGCCAAATCTGATTTAAAAATAGGAAAATGATCTGAATAGACATTTCTGAAAGATAAATACAAATAAATGACCAACTGGTATATATGAATAACGCTTGCTAGCACTAATCACCAGAGACATGCAACAAGATATCACCTTACTCCAGTCAGAATGGGTTTTTAACAAAAAGAATAAAAACAACCAATGCTGATGAGGATATAGAGAAAGGGGACTCTTACACTGTTGGCAAAAATGTAAATTAGTAGACCCATTATGGAGAACAGTATGTAGATTCCTCAAAAAACTAAACATAGAATTACCATATGATTCCTCAGTCCCACTACTAGGTATATATCCAAAGGAAATGAAATTATTGCATCAAAGAGGTACCTGAAACTCCCAAGTTCAATGCAGCACTATTCACAACAACTAAGATATAGAATACAACTGTAGTATTCAGGAACAGATGAATGATAAAGATATCATTCGTATGTTATCTTTACATATACAACAGAATATTATTCAGACATAAAAAAGACTGAAATCCTTTCATTTGCAGTAACATGGATGGAACTAGAGGACAGCATGTTAAGTGAAATAAGATGAGGCAAAAAACAAATCTTGAATGGTTTCACTCATTTGTGGAAGTTAAAATTTGGTTTTATAGAAGAGAACAGGATAGTACTGGTGACTAGGAAAAGGAGGGAGAGAGAGAGAGGCTAGATAATGGGTACCAAAACACAGTTAATTAGGAAGTAGTAGTACCAGTGTTTCATAACAAGGTAGTGTAACTATGGACTATAACAATTTAGTATATTTCAAAATATCTAGTAGAAGATGAGTCTAAAGGTTTCTAACACACAGAAATAATAAACCCTTGAGGAAGCACCCTGATTTGATCATTACACACTGTATACATTTATGGAACTATTGTACTGTACCCATTAAGTATGTACAAATAATATATCAATTTAAAAAGTAAAAAAATTTATATTGAAGTGATATTTTGGATGTGTTAGGTTAAATAAAACATGTATTTATTTAAAAAAGGGGAAGATGCTCTTCTACAGTATGTATTCCTGAAAAAGTTATGATAGATCCCTCAGATGCCAAAAGAAAAGAAAATTCACTATTTTTAGATGTCAATTTTTAATAGGAAAAAGAAAAGAGAAAACAAGAAAATACAACCCAAGACTAAAAGCACTTATGGGATTTTTATGTTAATTAAAATTTAATTATATGTATTAGAGTAATAAGGAAGCACACTAATAGAAGGCTAGGCAAAATTCATTTTTTTTTCTTACTTGAATATGATCATTTTTCAGTAGCGCTTTCAGTTTTTTCAACTCAGGATCATTTGAATTGTCATTTTTTCCAAAATCAAAAAATAAGAGCCAGCGATGATGCGCCAAACGATCCTTAAAAGTGACAGGAAAAGCAATGTAAAAGACAGGAAACTAAGACTTTTAATCTTTATTTCTTTCATTTGAAGTTAGATTTAGTTACCCTACCCATAAAATCAAAATACTACCTAAAATTAAAACTCATTTGTACTCTTTATTCTATGGTTTGCTGGAAATAATGCAATGTAAATTAATTATAGGATATTATAAGGGGTAGTCACTGAGTTATAAAATCTTAAAACTTTATGAGTGTGGCCAAAACAATATGGTTTTAACAATATATAGCCAAAAACTGGGGGTGGGGTTGGAGAAATCAGGGTTTTCAGACTTCACAAAAGATTAGGCAGCAATCTACTTAGAAAACTCTAGAATCAATTAAGTAGAATAAAGTAATTTATCACTAACCGAGCATTTCTAAACATTCTATTCACAGGCAATGTTTTTCAAATGTCAGTGAACAATACAGAGTTCTGTGAACAAGATATACAAAGTTCCAAATCACATCCCAAATTGTTCTGTGATTTAAAAAAAACAAACACAAAAGAACAAAAACCTTGCCTTTCCAGTCCTTCTTTTGAAGCCTACCTTCAGGATTGGGTAGATTTTCCAAAACTATAGAAGCACTTTGAAAGAGTAAGACCAGAATTTTAGCAATTAGAATTTAACCTAGAGTTGACTATTGTCTAATCCTTTGAAACTGCTACTTTCAGTTCTCTTTAGTAATGAACAAAACAAATCCTGACTTTAAAATGTTAAAGACTTGAAATCCTACAAACATTTATTACAATTAATAAAAACATTACCTGTAGTGTGTCTGCTGAAAGTAGTTCAAAATCTGGAAGATTATGTATTATTTCCATATATATTTCTTTAGCATCCAATGAATTAAGAAACTAGAGTAAGAGAATCATATTGTAATCTTTCTGTGCAAATATTCATTTCTTACAGTGCCCTTTTTTCAGTTTCTAAAGAGGAACTTTTAAGAAAACAATTAGAGGTTAAACAGTCCTTCAAACTATTACAAATGTTTTTGTGTTTTAAAAGTACCCCAAACATATTTTGGCAATTAAGAAAAATATTGTGTAATGGGATGTTTTTTAAAAAAGGAATTCATTAAGTGTTTCCTTAAACTGGAATTTTCTGTGATAATCCTCTCAGTAATTTGGAATGACCTCTAAATTATCATGAAAATATTCTATTTGCAGTTTAATTTTAATGCTAACCATCATAGAATGCCAATGCTTTACACATTCTTTAAAATTTTGATTCTAAAATATCTGATGAGGGGCTGGCGGAGTGGCTCAAGTGATAGAGTGTCTGCCTAGCAAGTGTGAAGCCCTGAGTTCAAACCCCAGTACAGCAAAAAAAAAAATTTCTAAAATATTTGATGATCTACACACTTTATATTGCAACCAGTAACTTAGATTAGAAGTTATGAACTTATTAAGTAATTAAGAACTTATAGCTGGAAAATTGGAAGGAATATTATACTTATTATAGAGGTTTTTAGAAATGTAACCTCCACCAAACAAACCACATAGGAGGTTTCAGAGGAAAATTACACA